ATAGGTTAAAAACGAATACAAATACTAAATTACTTTATACTTAGACTCTATGCAATCTTTTTCAGTTTGATTTTTTAATACTATCGAATTACAATAATCTAAACATATTTATAAAAACATGATAGCATACATGACAAAATATAATCTTCAGGAGTAAAATGTTTCGAACATACTACCATATACTTCGTAACTTTTTTGCCAATTCTTAGCAGTTGAATCCACTCTTTCCGTCGGTTACAGTTCTGAGATTCTCCGAATTCTGATTTACGAAAAATCATCTGTTTTTCATGTGGGAATACATGAAAACTTATATCGGGATCGCGTATGGCTTTGGAATTACAATTCGGAACACAACAGAAAGCTTTACTTTTACTTTTACTATTCATCTCTACTGTTGACAATATACGAAGAACATTCAAACGACCCAGAAAGAGTAGTTCTGTTTTTAAACACCAGAGGGCGAGCATCTGGTGAAAAACGCGAATCTCTCCACCGAAGAGGCTGCACAGACGTTTTGCCATCTTGTGGGGCTCGTGCCACATCCGGACCTAACCTGTTTCTTTCCGCCATGTCCTAAGTGCAGAGGTAAGCCTTTCCTCGATTCCCGCGTTTACATGAGTGCTATCTGCAGCTATCTGGGTTAATGCTACTAATGGTTCGAAAATGGCGTTGCTTTGGTTAGGTTCGTTTCGTTTTCGTTACATTAGCTACATTTTTATCCGTCTGGACCACAAACCGTCGAAAGTACGGCCATTTTGAAACCATGGATAACAGTATCCGCTATCCTGTTTCGATATTTGACCACGCGAGTTAATAGTAGTAGTAACAGTAATATGTTAACTGCCAATATTCCAATTTACTAGTATTTCGATATTTTTGTCGTAATCTTTAGGCACTATGCGGAAGGAACCGGCTCCATCTGACAGGTTCGGATTAGTCTACCGCTGTGAAAAAGTACAGCAGAAAAAGAAGATCAGGAGGTGGACTGGTGGCACCGTCTTCAGGGCTATGTGCACTGGTTCCCTGTCTTGCACCCACAACACCTTTTTCGAAAGGACACAGCTGTCAGCCCGAGAGGTATGACATTTGAAGTCGCTCGCAAAACATGATCACAGAATCTACGGTTTCTTTTTCTCTGGGTCACGTTACGCTATGCATTTCTGTAATTTGATCGTATGGCTTGAGATGATATGTGTTTTGTTGGTTTTCTATTTTACAGGTGCTGATGCTTATTTATTCATGGGTCAAGCAGGAGCCGGTCACCGTCGCCGCGGAGGAATGCGGCGTGGCCCCCAAAACAGCGGTAGATTGGTACAATTACTGCCGTGAAGTTGCGGAGGTTTTCGTCTCCCACCAGCAAAACATCCAGCTCGGGGGTGAAGGCATGCACGTCGAGGTAACCATTGACCCACGTTTCTGATTTTGCCGAAATGTCTGTCTCTATATTCGTATGTTTTATTTTCAGATCGACAAGACCTTCACCCGGAGGCGAAAATACAACCGCGGCCGCATAATTAAAGGCACCCAAATTACCATCTTCGGTGCCTATTGTCGGGAAACAAAAGAGGTGATGTAGTGGCATGGAAGTAGTAGCGAAGCATTATTATTTCCTTTTATTTTTTAGTTTTTGTGGAAGTTTTGTTATAGTTTCTCGTATTCTTTCAGGTGGACAACAAGAGCCGACGGGTTCTCTGGAGCCAGATGCTCAGATACATCGCCCCCGGTTCCATCATTGTTTCCGACAGCACGGCCCAATATCGCGGTTGTACGATGATGGGCTTCTCTGGACATAAGACCGCCAATCACAGCCAGTGGGGCCCCGGGAGGTAAGGAAGATAAAACTGCAATGTGTTATGTGAAAAAAATGAACAAGCGTTATTGAAAAGTGACATTTTTCTTTTATTTTCCAAACAGATTTGTCGACGCCGGTGATCCCGAGGCCCACACTCAGTACATCAAGTGCAGAAATCGCTGACTGAAGAAGTCCATCAAGTCGCTCCGCACGGACAGGAGCCTGCAGAGGTACAACTGTACGTACGTGCACAGGATGCGGGTCCTGTCCCAGTTGCCAACAACATCGGCAANAAGAGCCGACGGGTTCTCTGGAGCCACATGCTCAGATACATCGCCCCCGGTTCCATCATTGTTTCCGACAGCGCGGCCCAATATCGCGGTTGTACAATGATGGGCTTCTCTGAACATAAGACCGTCAATCACAGCCAGTGGGGCCCCGGGAGGTAAGGAAGATGAAACTGCAATGTGTTATGTGAAAGAAATGAACAAGCATTATTGAAAAGTGACATTTTTCTTTTATTTTCCGAACAGATTTGTCGACGCCGGTGATCCCGAGGCCCACACTCAGAACATCAAGTGCAGAAATCGCTGACTGAAGAAGTCCATCAAGTCGCTCCGCACGGACAGGAGCCTGCAAAGCTACAACTGTACGTACGTGCACAGGATGCGGGTCCTGTCCCAGTTGCCAACAACATCGGCAAAATTCCGGCAGTTTCTCGGGGACATCGCGGCCGTCTACCCGGGCCCCGGTCGTCAGGGTCTCCAACTCCGGACGATCAGTGTGCCCGTGGATCAACATCTGCCGTTGGACGAGCCCTATTTCAATGTTCCCGTGCACGAGGGCGACGAAGAGGAACGGCAGGAGGATGACAACCGCCCAGTGAGTAGTGCAGCTGGTGTATAGTGCGCGTGACCAAAGGATACCTATTTGCAGATGTGAAACCTGGATTATGTGATTTTTGAGACAACATTGGGCACCAGCAACACCTTCGTCATCGACCCCCAGGACCTAGCCGAGGCGGGGACCAGCAGCCTCACCCCGTCCTCACCTACGCAACATCGAGAATAGGCTAGGCGTCGCCAGGTAGCGAAAGGATATGGCGGGAAACGCAGGAGGAGACGCTGTTGAAGGTGAGTGTACAATCTGGTTTCAAAACGGTTTTCTATTAGCCTAAGTAGTGACAGTCACCTCCGGAGAGGTAGGTCAGGTGTTTTGGACAAGCCGCGAAAGCGGCGCGTAGTACTAGCCAACCGTGATCGAAACCCGAGTGTGTCGGCGAATGAGGGCCCTAGGCCCCGAGGTTAAGGATGAGCGCGGGGTTGTGTGAAAAGGACCTAACTCGGCAATAATTAGACTGTACTAACATTAGAATAGGTTGATAGGCTTAGCGGTGCTTAATATGGTAGCCGACCGGGCGAGCGAAACCCAGTGTGTCGGCGAATGAGGGACCCTAGACCCTCCCGAGGTTGAAGAGGAGCGCGGGGTCATGCGAAAAGAACCTAACTCCGATAATTAGACTGCAGTAACGTTAGAATAGGTCGATAGGCTTAGTAGAAAGAGCGACGCGACTCGTCGATCCCAATCGCCGGAAATGACGTAGGGGATTCTTTACAGGGCTATATCTCGTAAAGGGTCACACGCAGGGGTATGGTTCCTTTGACTTTTTCGTGCGCACGGAGGGGGTCTTCAATTCGGGGGGGGGTCGCCGATCAGCTCATTCGCAGGGTAAATTGTGGCTAACATGTGGTCACGTGACCCGTAAACAATTTTCGGAGGGCTATATCTCGTGAAGGGTCGCGCGTAACGAGGTGGTTCATTAGACATTTATTGTTCGTACGGGGGGTGGCTACCCCCTCATTCAGAGGGTAAATCTTACTGAATAAAGATATTAATTAATATGATTATCATTATGGTAGTATACTTCATAATCTATTTAACTTTGAGACATTGGGTGCGTATACTTTTAGCTCCGATCTCGTCCCTAGCGCACTCAGCCTGTATACTTTTTGTTAGCTACCAACGAGCACGGCGTATACTTTTCGCACCCGTGACGTCATTGCTAGCATTTCTAGCGCGCTCGGCGTGCCCGGAGAACTTACAACGAGCTTGTCGTTAGTTCAAAGATGGCGGCGTCCATCTACGACGTTACTGTTTCTTTACCGGACGGAAAAGAAGTTCAATTACACGTTAATAAAGTCGTTTGTCATCAGATGATGGAAGGTAAGTAAAAAGGGATTCCTAAAAGTGTATAATTTTATATCATAAATCCTATTTCGATAACAGAGGCTTCATTACAGATGTAAATTATGCCAGAGAATTGGCTTTGACGACTCTTTCCACTGCTTCAGTTGGACTGAGTATCCCTGCTGGTATGTCAAATTTTGATTTTGAATGAAATTGTTGAAAGGATAAACCAATAAACTAAGATCACGATGTAATTAGTGCTGATTGTTAAAAAATTTTAGAATTTTTAATCTGTTATAATAAGGGCTACATATGCTAAATATTTTCTATCTTTTATTATAGAGGAACCCTGTGGCTTCCAGTGGCCCAAAGCCAAGACCATTCAATTAATTTCCTTATACAACGAACACAGGGAGAAGTTTGAATTACCTCAATATACAAATATTCAGGTTGTAGCCTACTGCTTGTCAAATTAACATTGTAACTGTGAACCTTTCATAAATAATTTCTAATAACCTTTTTTAATATTATAGATATGGAGGATAATATCAAATAAGTTAAACGAGGAGAGGTTTTCGGTCACTCCAGCCCAGGTTGACACCAAATGGCGGGGACTGAAAAAAACATTTAAAAAAATCAAACTGCACAATTCCNTGTTTTGGACAAGCCGCGAAAGCGGCGCGTAGTACTAGCCAACTGTGATCGAAAACCGAGTGTGTCGGCGAATGAGGGCCCTAGGCCCCGAGGTTAAGGATGAGCGCGGGGTTGTGTGAAAAGGACCTAACTCGGCAATAATTAGACTGTACTAACATTAGAATAGGTTGATAGGCTTAGCGGTGCTTAATACGGTAGCCGACCGGGCGAGCGAAACCCAGTGTGTCAGCGAATGAGGGACCCTAGACCCTCCCGAGGTCGAGGAGGAGCGCGGGGTCAAGCGAAAAGAACCTAACTCCGATAATTAGACTGCAGTAACGTTAGAATAGGTCGATAGGCTTAGTAGAAAGAGCGACGCGACTTGTCGATCCCGATCGTCGGAAATGACGTAGGGGATTCTTTACAGGGCTATATCTCGTAAAGGGTCGCACGCAGGGGTATGGTTCCTTTGACTTTTTCGTTCGCACGGAGGGGGTCTTCAATTCGGGGGGGTCGCCGATCAGCTCATTCGCAGGGTAAATTGTGGCTAACATGTGGTCACATGACCCGTAAACAATTTTCGGAGGGCTATATCTCGTGAAGGGTCGCGCGTAAGGGGGTGGTTCATTAGACATTTATTGTTCGTTGACAGCTCATTCAGAGGGTAAATTTTACTGAATAAAGATATTAATTAATATGATTATCATTATGGTAGTATACTTCATAATCTATTTAACTTTGAGACATTGGGTGCGTATACTTTTAGCTCCGATCTCGCCCCTAGCACACTCAGCCTGTATACTTTTTGTTAGCTACCAACGAGCATGGCGTATACTTTTCGCACCCGTGACGTCATTGCTAGCATTTCTAGCGCGCTCGGCGTGCCCGGAGAACTTACAACGAGCTTGTCGTTAGTTCAAAGATGGCGGCGTCCATGTACGACATTACTGTTTCTTTACCGGACGGAAAAAAAGTTCAATTACACGTTAATAAAGTCGTTTGTCATCAGATGATGGAAGGTAAGTAAAAAAAGATTCCTAAAAGTGTATAATTTTATATCATAAATCCTATTTCAATAACAGAGGCTTCATTACAGATGTAAATTATGCCAGAGAATTGGCTTTGACGACTCTTTCCACTGCTTCAGTTGGACTGAGTATCCCTGCTGGCAAGTCAAATTTTGATTTTGAATGAAATTGTTGAAAGGATAAACCAATAAACTAAGATCACGATGTAATTAGTGCTGATTGTTAAAAAATTTTAGAATTTTTTATCTGTTATAATAAGGGCTACATATGCTAAATATTTTCTATCTTTTATTATAGAGGAACCCTGTGGCTTCCAGTGGCCCAAAGCCAAGACCATTCAATTAATTTCCTTTTACAACGAACACAGGGAGAAGTTTGAATTACCTCAATATACAAATATTCAGGTTGTAGCCTACTGCTTGTCAAATTAACATTGTAACTGTGAACCTTTCATAAATAATTTCTAATAACCTTTTTTAATATTATAGATATGGAGGATAATATCAAATAAGTTAAATGAGGAGGGGTTTTCAGTCACTCCAGCCCAAGTTGACACCAAATGGCGGGGACTGAAAAAAACATTTAAAAAAATCAAACTGCACAATTCCCAATCCGGTAACATTGGGAATTTTTTTCTTTAATGGACGATGCAATTGGGAGACGGCCTGAAATTTCCCCTGTTGCTACTTGTAGCAACACAGATGGAGTGAGAGTAAATTCACACTCAAGTTCCACTCCATCATCCCC